CCTCCGCCATCTTCGCGCCACTGCCGCCTCAGCCTCGGCCTGTGCCTCCCGGGGCCGCAGCGACCGCGCGGTCTGGGTCCCGGCCTCTCGTGGCCCACGCACGAAGCCCCGCGCCGAGAGGTCGGGACACCCTGGGTTTAATTTGGCCACAGCAAGATTCCCAGCCGGGTGCTCTGGTCCCGGGCCTAACTGCGTGCTGGGAACCCCGAGAACTTAGAGAACAAGTTTCGACTCCCGTCCCCTCGGTGCGGGACTTGCACGGTCCATGCAGGGCGGTGTGGCCGACCAGCTCGGGAGGCGTATGCCACCCACGTTTGGGGAACGTCTTTGGCAGGGAATAGGAAGGTGTCTTCAGAGCGTTCAGTTCTGATCTTAAGTGAAGAGATTGTAAGCCGTGGGAAACGCTAAGTACCCAGTGGAACGGTACCTGAAGTCTAGTGAGAGAGACGGGGGAAAGGCGGCTTTTAGTGAGGGCTTCCCGAGAGGGTTGCAGACATTCTAGACGAGGAAACAGTATGTTCAGAAGGGGCCAGGGCTCAGATCTCCAGCTTGCCGGAGCGTGGCGGGCTAGCATGGCGGAGTGCTGGGCTTATGAGAAGGTATTGTTCTGTCTTCTTCAGGGCCTGTGTATTGGCTTCTCACCTGCGCACCTCCAGACTTTATTGAGATGCTTTGTAGTGTCATCTTTTTGCAGTTGCTTCTGATAGATAATGGTACCGTTACTTGCTCCCACCAACCACTCTGATAGTAACAGGAGCTTCTAAATAACTATGCCTTGAGGCTGTGAGTTTGACCCAGCCATTCTTTTTGAAGATAACCACCGTTAGAGTTTTGAATAAAGCTGACTTTATACGGGTAGTTTTACGTCTTTCACAGGAGTATAACCTGTAGTTTTGAATAAAGCTGACTTTATACGGGTAGTCTTACGTCTTTCACAGGAGTATAACCTGTATCTGAATGTGCTTTGGGCAGAGTTTGGATTACCAGGTGTGCCTGGAAATCTGTCATCATTGTAGTTCCTATTGCTTTTTATCCAAAGTTAATTTGAATCTTCTCCGAGGTCAAGGCTCTTTTGACATGACATAAAACCTTACAACTCTTTATTAAAACTTGGGATTTAGCAGATGGAATGCAGAGGGCCCAGGCTGACCTGCTTGTATAGAGGCAGTGGGGTATTTAAGATCCTTTACTCCCTAGGAGTGCATTTGGGAAGTGCTTTCTGCTTCCAGGAGGACGCTGACACTGTTACAGTGTATTCTTCAAGTTTTAAAACAAGACAGGCTTTCAGAATTTGTGGAGGACAGGAAGCTGAGGGCTAAATCCTGAAGAGATTGGCAGAATTGAGATTCAAAGTTACTGTAGCAGGCAGTTAAAACAGACTAGATGAGCCTAGCCCTGGTAACACATCTGTAACCTCAGCCCTCACAGAGGCCCAGACAGGAGGATCCTGAGTTCAGGCCAGTCTGGACCACATAATGAGACTTTGTTTCAAAAAACAGCAATAGTACCCACAAAATAGCTACAAAACACCCTAACAAGAGGAAATTTTGTTTTGTTTTAATGTGTACAAGTGTTTTTGCCTGCATGTATATTTGCATCACCTGTGTGCCTAGTACCTGCAGAGGCCCAGAAGGGAGTAGGAGCCCTTGGAATAGAGTTACAGGTGTGAGCTGCCATTTCTGTGCTGGGAGTTGAGCCTAGATCCTCTGAAGGAGCAGCCAGTGCTCTTAACTGGTGAGTCATCATCTCTAGCTCCACGGTGATGACTTAAATCATCATTAATATGATTTAAATGGTTTAATATGATTTATGCTTTAAAAATTGATTTGCATACCATACTATTTACCAGTCTAGCTGGTGGTGGGACCTGGGGGGAAATGGAGCCAATAAATGAGGCAGACTCTGAGGGTTAAGAAGAGTCACATGAGTAAGTGTACAATGACAAGGACAAGCTGCACTTGGCAAAAATATGTTTTCCATAAAGGCATAGAAACATTTAATTGGATAATAACAGCAAACAATAATGAGAATTCTGAAGTAAAATCATTCCTATTCACTACACCTGGGAGGAGCATGAAAACACATTCCAAGAACAATTCTGTGTTTTGAAGGAACTGAGGTCACAAGACTCATGTCTTGTTTTCTGACAAGCACTCAGAATTCTCCTCACAGGACTCCATTCTGAGACTTGTTCCAACATCATACTTTGTTTCAGTAAATCAAGGGTTGCTAAGTAGTCAGAAGGACAAGACTAAATTGCATACTGACCCTCATACATGATGGATCAGTGTAACAGATTTTCCAAAATAATACTGGGATCAATAAAAAAAAATCTAGCCATTTACATGTGTGGAAAGTGGAACATCACTGTGTCTTCAACTCTGGCTTTGCACTACCCTTTTGCCTTCAGGAACTATTGGCTTGTATGTATAATAGGTGATGCCTCCTGCAGATATTGTATGGATTAAAAAGTACCAGTATGTTTAATGGAACACATGGCCCAGGTTTATGTTATGGACCACATACTCAGGGCTTTGCAGATGTTGGCTAGTTAACATCTGTGAGATGTGCACTGTAACAGCACTTCAAAACCAGTTGCAATGATTTTGGAGTGTATGGAGGAAGATGATGCCACCACTCAGTACAACAGGCATGTTTTGTTGAATTCTTTTGGTTTGGTTTTTTAGTATCAAATCTTATGTTCACACCCACAAGACTTAAATTTTTATGGCCTGTAAGTATGTGTCATATGTTTTCAGATATTGCACTAAATTAACAGGCTTTATCCCAGGACTTAAAAGATTTTGATAGTTGAGCATATCAATTAAAAGAAAAAAGATCTATCTTTTGCTAAAAGGGATGTTGCTTATTTATATAAGTAGTGGAACTTTTTTCTTAGATCCATAAAATGCTTACGTGGGTTGTTTAGTAAGTAGAGTGGGGTTCACTTGTTTGGTTGTTAACACCTGTGTATTTAAAACTCCTGATCAATGTGGAGCTAGAGCATAAAGGTAGAGCACTTACCTAGTATGTGTCAGGCCCTGGGTTCAGATCTGGTACCAAAAAGCAAAAATACCCGATTGTCAGCCTGGGGCTAATGCTCAGTGGTAGAGCACATATTTAGCATGAGAAGTCTTGAGTTCAATCCCCAGCACTTCAAATAAAACTGATGTTTAATTGTTAAGGATTATTTGACAGACTAACTTAAAAGTGTATTTTAGGGACTAGTGTGAAGACACATGTCTGTAATCTCAGCACTCGGAGGCAGAGGCAGGCAGATCTCTATGACTTTGGGACCAGCCTGGTCTATAGAATGAGTTCCAAGATAGCCAGGGCAGCACAGAGAAACCCTATAATAATAGTGATGGTAATAATAATAATGATAATAATAATAAAGCAATTGAGGAAGAGCCTGGGCATCGACTTGTAGCCTCCACACACACTTGTATACATAATGCATGCACACGTGTGCACACACCCACAGACATGTACAGTACCCATCTCCATGGGTATTTATTTGAAAAGTATTGGAAATACAAATATAAAATAAAGGTTGAAATATCAGAAGACATATTACTCTAAAACTTAATGTATAAGCAATATAAAATGCAAGTCATAGAAAGTTAGAGTGAGAAAATAATACAATATATATTATAAAGGATTAATATATTAATATCTAATGATTGAAAAATTCACAGAATTAATGAGACAACCCCTTAGTGCATGCCTTTAATCCCAGCACTTGGAAGGCAGAGGTAGACACACCTCTGTGAATTCAAGGCCAGGCTGGTATAGGACTGCATAGCAAAATCAAAGACAGTCTGAGTACATAGTGAGATGCCGTATCAAAAACAAAACAAAAAAGTCTCATCATAATATATAATATCCAGTAAACATAGTTCCTGGATATAGATAATGGGGGGGGGGGATGAGTGATATTAGCTGTGATTGGAAGGGTGCATAGTTTATTTTCTATTAGTGTTATGGATCAGAGTTGCATGTTGTCTGGTGGAAGCTGACAACAGTAGCTCACATACTTTGATTTCTACTTATTCAAAACAGTGCAAGGTTTTGGCTAATGAAAAGTTCCATAGTATAGTGTTTATGACCCACATCTCTTCCTGGCCTTTTGTCTAAGCTCAGATGTGGTGTTTATAACTACAGCATATTTTAAAGGATCCAACTACACATGTGTTTGAGTATATGAAGGGTGGCCAAAGAGATCCTCATTAGCCTGGGCTTATGTTGTAGGAGAACTTGTAAGGTATGATGGGTCTTTGTAAAGTCCAAGGCAGGTGCCCAGCAAGAGTCCACACTGGGGAATCAGCCAGCTGGGTTTGAATCTTCATTCCACTCCTCACAGCCCTCTCATTTGGGGCAGGTATTTGGCCTTGGTGTCTCAGCTTCCTCTTCATTGAGTAGTAACAGTATCTTAAAAATCTATTATAGTAATCAATTGATTTAAAATGTTTAGAACCCTTAGTGTCTTACAAGCAATGAGTGTTTTACAGCTGATCTCAGTTATGGGCAATAAAATGTGAGGTAATCTCACTGTTTAATTGAAGTACCTTTGATGGTATTCTAGAGTGAGAAAGAACAGCATACTGTTCTTTAAGGGTGCAGTTTGAACACTCTCAGTGTTAGGACTGAAGAGGGGGACCAGGCTGGCATGAAGCAGGAAATCTGTGAGGAGTGCCTGAAAGAACTGAAAATACACATTGCTTCTGCAAAGACAGCTTTCTCTATTGGACAGTGGTCGTGAAAAGATCATGCTTAGGAGAGAAGGATTGGTTGTTAGGTTGGCCTCTGTGCTGTAATATACATGCTCCTCTCCTTAAGAGGCTTGGCTTCCTGCTATCCTAGCCTACTGAATGGAGTGTGGTTGTCCTAGATTATCTCATTTTTAAAAGATTGGTGTGTATGGGTGTTTTGCCTGTATGTATGTGCACCAGGTATGTCTGGTTTCCCCAGACATCAGAGGACGGTGTTAGATCCCCTGGAGCTGGAGTTATGAATTGTTGTGAGTCACCTTGTGAGTGCTAGGAATTGAACCCAGGTTCTCTGCAAGAGCAATCACACCAGCCATCAACCCAGCCCTCACACCAGCCATCACACCAGCCCTCAACCCAATACAGTTTTGAGTGTCAGCGGAATGGATATTTTGATTGTTAGGCCTTTGGAAGTGAGCTGATAGAATATTAGGAGTTTGGTAGAGGAATTAATACATAGACTAAGTACTCTTATAGACTAAGTACTCTTTGGTGTTCTACTTTTTTTTTTTTTTTTTTTTTTTTTGGTTTTTCGAGACAGGGTTTCTCTGGGTAGCTTTGCGCCTTTCCTGGAACTCACTTGGTAGCCCAGGCTGGCCTCGAACTCACAAAGATCCACCTGCCTCTGCCTCCCGAGTGCTGGGATTAAAGGCGTGCGCCACCACCGTCCGGCCTGGTGTTCTACGTCTTAGGCTAGAGTAGTTCTTTGTGTCTGTGAGTTCCATAGTTGTCAATTCAATGTACCTCAAATTATAAGATTTTTAAAGCTGTACTGAGCATGTGCAGACTGGTTTCTAGTTATCCTTACTTAAAGGATACAGGCTAGGAGTCGTTTTTTGCAGTATTTACCATGTATTGGGCACTCAGGTAGTCTAGAGACATTTTGGAGTATGCAGGGCAATGTTGGTGGGTTGTTTGGGTAAGGTGACATCTGTGTAAGATAGTGACCATCCCTGGATTTGGGTATTGGAGTGGTCCCAGAAACAAGGGGCAGCTTTGCCTCCTGTTTCCATACATTTTGTGTCTCTTGAGAAAATGAAATCATTTGTGATTCCTCAGTTGAGGGAATCTTGACAGAGCATATTTTCTCATATGTGATATAGGAATAAAGCAAAAGAGATTTTGTTAACTTTAGGGTTTTTGTATATATTGAGGTACTTCTGACCTAAATATCCCCAAGATATCCCTTCCTTGGGATTGGTCAATTCTACTTTTTGTTTTAAAAGAGGAGAATTGGGCTAGGGAGAAGATGGCTCCGTGGTGGAGTGCTTGCCATGCAGATATGAAGATGGGTTCAAATCCCCACTGCCTGGGTACATGTAGGGGGGCAGAGAAGGCTTTCTGAAGCCAAGTGGCTAGCTAATGAGCTGAATAAGCAAGCTCTAGGTTGAAAAGATCCTTTAGAGAGAGATCAGAGAAGACAGCCAGCATCCCTCTGGCCTTCATATACACAATGGCACTTGAGCACACACACATACCCACATGTAGACACACACGTACACCACAAAGGGTAAAAAGGAGAATTGATACCCATCTGTCTTAGGGTTTCTGTTGCTGTGAAGAGACACCATGACCATGACAACTCTTATAAAGGAAAAACATTTAATTGGAGTGGCTTACGTTTTCAGAGTTAGGGTTAGTTGTAGTCCAACATGGTGGCTTGCAGGCAGACATGGTGCTGGAGAAGGAGCCACGTGTCCTATATCTTGGTTTGCAGGCAAGAGGAAGTGATCTGTTTCACTGGGCATGGCTTGAGCATATATGAAACCTCAAAGCCCACCTCCACAGTAACACTTCCTCCAGCAAGACCACACCTACTCCAACAAGGCCACACCTCCTAATAGTTCCACTCTCTATGGGGCCATTTTCTTTCAAACCCCCACACATCTCATGTTTATATGGAGACCAAATTATGATACCGATGAATCTCTGAAATATAAATTTATCTAAGTGAACTGATTTACATGAGGGTATTTTTGCATGTGGTCAAAGAAACAAGCAGCAGAACAAAGATCTGAGTATTAGGTTCATAGTGCTAGGAGTTGAAAAGGTACTGTAGGAGGTAAGCATGCTGTATAGTGGTCATCTATACCCAGCCATACATTCTGAGAACCCATGTAGATACTAAAAATGTAAACTCTTATGTTCCCTGTGCGTGGTATTGTGATAAAGTTGAATTTTTAAATTAAGCTTGGGAAGAGGTTGACAGTAACTAATAATAAAATACTTAGAATATATCATAAGAAGTGTGTGTTTTAAGAGCTGGAGAGATTGGCTCAGTGACTAAGAGCACTTCTTGATCTTGCAGAGGATGCAGGTTCCATTCCTAGCACCTACATGATGGCTTGTAATCATCTGCAGCTCCAGTTGCAGAGGATCCAATGCCCTCTTTTGGTTTCTGGGTACCAGGCATGAACATGGTACACAGACATACATACAGACAAAACACTTGTATGCATAAAATTAAATAAACGTAAAATTTAAAGCTGGGCTGTGCTGGCACACACCTTTAATCCCAGCATTTAGGAGGCAGATGCAGGTAGGTCTCTGTGAGTTTGAGGACAAGCCTGGTCTACAGAGTGAGTTCCAGGACAGGCTCCAAAGCTACACAGAGAAACCCTGTCTTAAAAAACAGCAACAACTGTGTGCTTTGGGGATATTCTTAAGTAAAATAAAAGTTACTTGAACATAAATGTTGTAATCCTATGGCTGTCAGTCTGATAACCAAAATGGCTACTAATAGCTTCCAAGTGATTAAGTGACGGGCAGCATGGAGAGCAAGGATTCCCTGATGAAGGGATACACAGTGGGCCAGGGCTGAGGGTAGCACAAGATTTCATTATGCTGACTTAGAATAGTGTGCAGTTGAAAACAAGACTGACTTTGGAAGTTTCCCATTTAATACAGTTGGACTGCAGTTGATACTGACTGACCAAAGCTGTAAAGTGTACGTAAGGGATCTGTTTATCCGACTCCAACAGGATGGTTTCTCCAGATTCTTGTGTGTTAATTCATATGTTTAATAGTTTAAGTAGAATTTTGGAAGCTGGGGAGTAAGGAATTCACATTTTATGTGAAAAATGATGAGACATAAGACATTTATCTTCAGATTCTTAGATTGAAAAACAAAACAAAACAAATATTCCTTAGCTTTTTTCTGAGGCCTGTCCATCCTGAAACTCCTCTTTTCTCCATTGATTGACATTGCTAGTGACACTAAGTTATGGTAGGTTCTCTCCCATTGCATACCAATATAGCATTCAGTAGTACCCAGGGACCTTTGGAGGCTTCCTCTACTTCTCAACTCCACCTTGAGGTCCAAAAGTCATCTTTCCGCTTTCAGTGATTCTCTTTGAAGGGAAGATTTGAGGAACATGGGTACATTATGTGTAGTTTAGTGGTAGAGCACACACTTAGCATGCATTCCATCCTTAGTACTGGGGGGCAGGGAAGGGGAAGAAGAGGCTGGTGTGGTGGCATATGCGCACCTTTAACCCCAGTACTCAGGATGCAGAGGCAGGAGAATCTTTATGGGTTTGAGATTAGCTTGATCTACATTGAGAATTTCAGGCCAGCGCTATATAGTAAGACCCTGTCTCCCTCTCCTCCACCCCCCACCCCCCACCCCCCAAAAGGAAAAAAGTACCTTTTAAATTTGGCACTTGCTAGGGTGTCATTTCGTTGTTTTTATGTTGACTGTGATGGTTGGAAACAGGGGTTCTTCCATAGTAAAGAGCTGTCCAGAAGAGATTTTAAGAGATATGTCTGTTTACCAGAGGAGAAAGTCTGACTCGTAGCAAGCTGACTCTAAGCAGGGGAGGGCACGGTGTTCCCTGGGTGACCATCTATCTGCTCTCTAACAGGTTTTCTGTTTTAGGGATAGAAGCACAGGAAGGACCCATGCTCTTGGAGGACCTGCCCCCGGCCAGCAGTACTGATTCAGGTACAGTCTTCAGGCTTTCCCAGGTGTGTGTCAACGTCTACTCATCCTGGGATTGTTGTAGTTGTCTCAATCTTTCTCCCTTTCCCCCATTTTTAACACACAGATGTTTTAGGTGTTGGCTGTCTTTAAGTTTTGAACCCATGGCCTCAGGTAAGGCAGAAAGACCTGCAGTGGCTAACTCTGAGAAGTGCTGCATAAACACGACGAGCAGTTTTCTCTGGTTCAAGTCCGTATTTTACTAGTTGAAGTAAAACTCAGCTCTTTAAGACAGAATTTCTGTTTTCTTTGAAATCGTAGGACTTTGAAATAGGTTCCGGATATTATTCCCTGCAGAATGAGTTGCACTGGATTGACACAAGTGTTGAGTTTGTCTCAATGACCTGTTGCATAGGTGTCCTGGTGGGATGGATTCTGAAACTGAAGCCTGGTTGTTCATTGTGGACTCAGTCTGGGTTCTTCTGTGTTTCAGGATCTGGGGGACCTTTACTCTTTGATGATCTCCCACCTGCTGGCAGTGGTGATCCAGGTAGGCAAACAGATTCCAAGGTGTGGATGGAGATAATCTTTCCTTTGCTACTGTGTAAACTGTATCCACAGGTTCTAGCAGGATTTTGAATGACATTGAAATGCAGTACAGACAAGGTCTATTAAAACTGAACAGACACCCTCAGGTGGAGGCAGAGATTAGAGACCTCAGTAAGTACTACATCACCATTTTGTTTCTTTCTTTGCCTTCACCTGCTAGGCTGACTTTTAAGAATTAAGATCCAGGCATGGAGACACCTGCCCATAATCATTCAGAAGACTAAAGCAGAGGGAACCTGAGTTCCACACTAGCCTGGGCTACATAGTGAGCCCGTGTCTCAAAATAGTAATAATTTAAAAGGTCAGAAATTCACTCTGAACTTCGATATTAACCTTTTAAAAAAATTTCAATCTGCCTCATGATTTGCCTCATGTTCCCCACAGACACAGATACATGACAGTGTTCTATTCTTTTTGTGTCCTGTTAGGGAAGAGGGAAGAATGATGAGTATACTGTTCAGTTACAGCCAAAGACTACTTATTCCAACTAGTTGGCAGCCTCTTGCTTGGAGTTGCTGTGATGGGGACTGGGGAGAGGCTGCGGATAGTCCTGGGTTTTGTAGTTAAAAGTTCCATTTGTTACCAAATAGAAAGAACACTTGCTACTTTTCCAAATAGATTTTTTGTTTCACAGGTTTATCCCTGGGAAATCAGTAGGCTTACTCAGAAAAAGCATTTAATTGTCTTATATAAGAATCACAAAATTTTCAGGGCTGTGGATTCATACCAAAAAATTATAGCATGCTCAAATCAGTCAGCCTTGAAAATTTCCCTAATGAACTCAGTGCTCTTAATTATATGAGGGTTAGTATGCAAAACAAATGTTTTTATAGATTTAAAGATAAATTAAGAATAACTAATTTCTTAGTTACTCATGGGGCAGAAAACAGTAATGACTACACAGCACTCTTGATTTACATATGGGGCGCTCTGGTGCCCAATATTTTGGATTTCTTGGAAGACTGCTCATTCTTCTCAAGTGGGCAGAAACTATGTGTGGGAGTTGACCCTGTGCTAGTCTGTAAGGTAAGTCCTAGTGAAGAGTCTTTCATATACAGACCATATCCTGTGATGAGGTGGAATTCACCTGGAGGTCAGTAACAGCAATATACTTTGTTTTGAAATTAGAAAGGATACAGAAAGGAAAACTGGGACTCAAAAAGTAAGAGCATGATGCTGTTGGAGAGACATTGAGGAGACTCTTGTAAACACCCATAACATCCTCTCATTAAGTTGCTCTTTTATGCAGGGTGTCATGTATTTTGTAATACCATTGTGAAAATACACCCTTTTGCAAGTAGTTGAGTCTTCTTTTTGGGAAAGAGTAGGTTGAGAGAATGGCCGCAGGGAACACTTACAGATATTTGACATAACAGACACCACAATAGATGGTTTATGTATCTTGTCCCTATTGACATTCACACAGTTCCTAGAGATGGTATGCTCTCACCATGTTATGGATGAAGAAACTCTGGCTGAACTTTATGCATTCCAAACACATGAGCACTGCTGGTGCAGTTAGGTATGGCTTGAGTACAGAGGTAGGGGCATTTCCAGCAGTACTCTGTGTCTTTCGGGTAGAGCCTGCCTTTTAACTTGAATTGAGCCTTTTAGGAACATATGAATTTGCTTACAGCTTTTGGAAATTTTCCTATCGATCATAAGGGTCTGAATGTAACACATCATGAATATGCTACAGGCTAAAAGCTTAAGTTTGTCTACAAAGTTTTGCTGGTGAGAAGTCTCTGGGGCAGAGACACTCAGGTTCTCCATTCAGCCTGGATGTACCCTGTCTTCTACCTCCCCAGCCATAGGTCCTAGCCCTAGGCCCTGTATATTCTGGTTCTTACCTAAAATGCCTTGGTGTCTCTAGGTCTTGACTGGATGGCGCCTGGTCTACTGGTGACTATTTCTGCAGTCTAAAGCTGTTTCTGTCTGGCTTTTACTTCATTTCTAGGTTCTCTTGCCACATCAGTTTCCCAGGCAGTGAAGAACGAAGGGAAAGGAGCAAAGAGGAAAACTGAGGAAGAGAAGAATGGCGGTGAAGAGCTTGTGGAAAAGAAAGTTTGTAAAGGTTTTCAGACAGTTTGAAAACAAATGTATCAGATTTCACACCCTAAACATCCCAGAGCAAAACCAGCCTCGGCCTCTAACTGTAGTGCTTCTCTGAGTTTAAGAAGTGGGCTTGACCCCCCCTTTGCAAATGGTTTCTAAGACTGCCCTTGCTTTTCATGTACTTGTCTCACCTGACAGGAAACCGACCACATTGTTCCTCTGAGTTGAGAAGGACCTATGCTTTTTTTCTTTAGTCTTTTCAGAAATGGCTGACTTTTGACTATCCATTCTTTCTGACTACCAGTCTTTGTTTTAAAACTCTTGATT